TTATATATTATATATTATATAATATATTATATGGTTCGCGAGCGGCTCATCGAGCCGCGAGCCTACAATACCTAAGCTCGGCTCGTGCTCGTTTAATCCACGAGCTGCTCGAGCTCGAGCCGAGCTCGATTTTGACCGAGTTCGAGCCGAGCGTTGACCGAACCGCTCACGAGTTGGCTCATTTACACCCCTAGTCGCACCCATCAAATTTGTTGTTCGGTGAAGTCGCCGTCCAGAAGAAGCACCGTTCATGTCTCGTTCGAGAAGCACGCACTTGTCAGCAATGGGAGGGAACACCATGGGACGTTGAAGAAGATAGAGAAATGTGAAATTACATATTTGCCCTTTAATTTAACCGCCTATGGGTGGAATTTTAATCTGTAAGATTTTAATAGTTGAGAACTTAATTGGGTAAGGATTATAGTCGATGATCAAATTGATAGTTTCGCAATAGTCAGAGAACCAAATTAGTTATTAACTCAAATCCTATAATGTGTATTACTTTCATTCTCATTCCTTGTGTCTAACAGCATGAATCAAACACACCCTTACCTTTTGTTTCAGTCGATCCTTCCTGTGCCTCAATGTCTTCATTAAGCTGGCATTTTTACATGTCACTTTTCATATTCCTAATTAAGGGCTTTGCTCTAAAAATAAGTCTTTGGAGATTCCTAGGTCCTTTACACAACCATCAAGATCACCTTTACTCTACCCCATAACATTCTCGATTTTTACAGTAAATTTTTTTTTTTCCAACTTGCTATATATATTGAGGGATAGAATGCATATAGAATTACTCAGCTCTGAGTTCTGCTCTTCGAATATGGCTAAGTTTGTTCTCATTGCAATAACAGCCTTTCTCGCTATATTCAACCCCCTTGCTTCTTCATTGCTTTTACATAGTATGCTCTCTCTCTCTCTCTCTCTCTCTCTCTCTCTCTCTCTTTCCCTTTCTCTTTCTCTTTCCCTTTCATTGTAAACAAAACTGTTACTATATATATACTTCGTTTTACATAGTTTGTTCATCATCTCCTTTGAATTTGCTTTAATTTGCTAATCGGAAAAAAAAATCGAAAAGGTGAAACCAAACAAACCACAAATCGGATTTTGTTCTTTGCTTTTGGGCTGTAAAACACACATATTTTTACCGTTTTAATTACTGTTTCATATTCGGTCTTGCTTCAACGGTAAGATAAGTTGTGGTTAAATTGGTATGCATGCATGCATGCAGATGAACATGATAGCAGGGTGAAATTTGGCTACAGTGGGCCAACTGGGCCGGGAAGATGGGCCGACCTAAGCCCAGCTTTCTCAGAATGTGCAAAGGGGAAATCACAGTCACCAGTCAACATTCTCACCCACAGCAATGCTATTGTTCACACCAAGTATAAGCCACTGCTCATCCATTATGCTAAATCTGTGAATTCTACTTTGATCAACTATGGCTTCAATGTTGGGGTTAGTTCAATTCTTTTCTACCCTTTTATTATTTTTGTTCAATTTTTGTAATTCGGCTGCAAGTTTTAACACTAGCTTTAACTCGATCGGTAGTTGAGTTTAATATGAGATTAAAGGTCGAAGTAATCTCGAAGGGGTATTTTAGTCTTATTATATTGTGCATGCAGATACGTTATGGTGCAGAGGCAGGAATGATTGTTTTGGATGGTAAAAATTACACACTGAAGCAAATGCATTGGCATGCCCCGTCCGAGCACCGAATTGATGGAGTGCAGTATATATATCTTCCTAAACAAGTTTACTTTTTGAAATTAATTAAATGGCTTAATCCGATTGCTAAAAAGATTATACTCTAATCCCGAGAATCCTCGATCACTATTTATGTTCTAGAGATTTGGTGAAGGAGCTGAGATTAATCACGGGATATGTTTTATATGATTATTGAATGTATGTATCTATATATGTAGGTTTGCAGCTGAGCTTCACCTTGTCCATTTTGGTGTTGCCGATCACACTCTGGCTGTCATTGCAGTCCTCTTCCAATTAGGCCACCGCCCTGATCCCACACTTGCTAAGGTTATTTATTTTTAATAAAATTATTTCGACTTATTTTATTTATGTTGTCATACATAGACTTAAGATTTTGTTTCGAATTATGCTCATCAAAGTGGACATATTTCATGTGCGCACTAACAATTGGTTCTGTTTGATAAAATAGTTAGTTTATCAGTTAATTTTGATTTATTTGACCATTATTAACTGTTTAATTTGGTTAAAAATCAATATAAGTGTTTGGTTAATCAGCTTTTTGTAACTTCACAATGCTAAAATTCAAAAAGCTGCTCAGAACAACTTTTTCAATTAATTTTTTGAGAAAAGAAATTATACCAAACAGTTATTAGCTCACAGCTAATTTATACAAACACTTTTCTACAATCAGCTAATGGTATCAACTAGTCATACCCTCTAACTCAATCAGCTAACAACTACTATCAGCTAACAATCATTTACCAAACAGGATCATTATGTTATTTTTAACGTACAATAGTAATTGTGTTTTTCAGATTGGAAAACATTTGATTAAGCTGCCAAGGGAATCATCATCATCATCATCAAAACAAAATCAACCTATGATTCCACTAGGCAAACTTAACACGCATCAAATAAGAAAATTGTTGCATAGCCGCCACAAGTATTACAAATATTTTGGCTCTCTCACCACTCCCCCATGCACTCAACATGTTACATGGGCAGTCCTTCCCAAGGTATATATATAGTACTCCGTATAATAATATGTACAATTAACAGTATGGAATATACATACACTAATATCGTATGTAATCTTTTTTTTTTTTTTTTTTTTTTAATATTCTGGTAAAGAAAGTAAAAGTTTTTTTTTTTTTTTTTTTGACGAAAAATGATTGCAGATACACTCAATATCAGAACGTCAAATTGAAGCATTGAGAGCTCCGCTAGAAGCTACATGCAAGAGAAATTCAAGGCCAGTACAACCCTTGTATGGGCGAAAATTGCAACTTTATGAGGCCCATCATCATCATAATTGATTCAATTACCTAATGAATTTTGCCTTTTAATTTAATTCCATCAAATATGGTTGTATTTGCATGCGATCATTTAGTATGTACTCGTATAACTAATAAATTTTTATTTAATAACGCACACACGTATAATAAAATAAATAAACGAGCATTGGTATTACCATGTTAGAAATAATGAATTTGTTGTGCTAATAAATATTGAAAAAAGTATGGAGCATATTGTAAACATTTTATTGGTATATGTTACTTTTTCTTTTTCTTTACTTTTTTGTTTTCTTCTATTGTATGTGTTTTCTTTGATTAACTTGTTCAAATTTGTCAATGCCCTCAAATAAGAGAAAATTATGATAGTGACTCTTAAGACTCTTGATGTTGACTTCTTGGATATATTAGTTGAATATTATTAAATATAATATAAAAATTGAATTAAATTATACACATCTTTACATTTCAATTAAAAAATGTTCAAATATAAAAATATTAAATATTTTCACTACTACTTTCTCAACCTACTAAAGTACAAAGAGTCAATATCGTTATTACAACTTTCTATTTGGAAAAGTCATTCTGTGCCACTATACCAAGGTCATTAGTCAAACTACAAGATATTCTGAGTATGCTCTAATTGTAGGAGACATATTTAAGTTTGTACTATATTTAAATTAATCTATGTTCCCACAAGACCAACTCAATTAAGGGAAAAAGGGAAATGTGCAATTATATATAACTAGTAATTCACCCGCGCGATGCACGGGGAAAAATTATGTTATTATAAATATAAATAAAAAAAATATTTTAAATTGTTTAATATAATAATATTTTTGAGCTTCCATTGGTCAAGTATTTATTATTTTTATAGAATACAAAATTACAATTAAAATTTTGTATGGTTAATATAATCTCTAATTATGTACATATTTAAATAAACTTATAGAGAGAATTTACACAATACGAATAATAACTAAGATAATTACATTTAGAAAGCAAATTTCAAATTTTGTATGAGTAAATTTAAACTCTAATTGAACACATTTTTTATATGATTATATAATATATTCTTTATGCACATGTCATTCCATAAACCCAAATGTCATTTTATAAGTTCAAGACCACTTCTTGTGGAGATAATTCATATGTATTTTTTTCTTTTAAAAGTCCTAAGTTTAGACATCCAGAAAAACATTAAAGACCCATACGATATATACATTTATATATATTTAAATTTTTATTTATGGCTTAAATAATTTTTTTTTATTCTGAAGTCCAATAATTGACCCACCCCCACAACATTTGCTTTCTTCATCCCTTCCCGCTTCTGCCATTTCTTTGAAGCATTTGAGAGGGAGAAAAATTATATGTAGAGGCTTGCATTAATTGCATTGTTTCAGATATCGAATAGACTTTTATCGAAAATTTAATTAATATTGTAATCCCAAGAACCACCATAAATAACAAAAGCATATCAAATAGACTTTCATTGTAAAGCCAGAGATTTAATTAATATTGCATCGTTTCATATTTTCTATTAATCGGGAATCAGAATACTTAATCCTAATATCATAACATTTAATAACTCTATTAATTCAATAAATGTAATCTTTTGTTATGGGCGAGAAAAAAATAGCTATTTTATTTTTCAAATGTTGTGTTTTTTTTTTTTTTTTTTTATAGTAAAATATGTTGTGGCTATTTTATATTTATAGCTAGTAATAATATTAATATTGGTAATTAATTGTAACATTAATTAATTCCTAAACCATATAGCTTTATTATATGTAAGATAAGATGAGTAAAGTAGCATTTGTCAAAAGAAAGACTTTTAGCTCAAAATTTTAAACATAGGAGTACTAGTATTGAATTGGAGGGTATCATTATACATTCACTAATTAATGTCAACGTTAATAAATTCCTATGCATATGTAGAAAAAAGACGGTAAATTTCAACTATCACGTCACACTTTGACGGCAGTTCCCTTTGACGCCTCATCGCCGTTCCGTACCAAAAGCATCGGAAACCGCCGCGTTGATTTCATTCGCTCCCCACGATTCTGACTTCCGGCCGGACGCGAACCGCTTCATTCCTCCCAAACCAGGCGGCTCAGCTAGCGGTTCAATACTCACTGGTACTTGACGACTTTTTGTCTCCTTCGCGCTCTTCCTTGACGGCGTTTGCTGCTCTGTCTTTGACTCCGCCGGTTTCTTTCCCCGGTTGGATAAGAACACGGAAACTAACCGCGAGTAGAACCCGGTTTTCCCCTTCCCTCCGACGCTTCTAGATTTTTCTAATTTCTCCGGAGAAGATTTCCGGCGACCGCGCTTCGATCGTACTCTTCCTATGCACGAAACCTTGGGGGACGACGGTTCGCCTACCGGTTTCCCCATCGACTCCGCCCGCCGCGGCGGGAAAAGACGGAAATTCGCCGGTTTGCTGCAACTCCTCCGCATCGAGTCGGCGTAGTTGTTCTTCTGAGTCCTGGGAAGCCCGATTATCGAAGCCTTCGACTTCGCGAACCTCTGCGAACTCGAATTCGAACTTGAGTTCAAATTCGGGTTGAAACCTTTGCCTGACTCCTTACGCTCCAAAAAAGCGTTGCGGTCGAACCAATCAAACTCGGCATCTTTCGATATCAAGAAGGATTCCGGCAGAAGATCCGGAGCTACTCTCTTTTCGTAGTCGTCGACGGAATCATGATTATCTCGCTTGTCATCACTCTCGACTCGGCCGTCTGCCAAGGTTTCACACGCAATTTTCCGGTCAGTTCCGCCGCCTGCACAGGCGGAGACTAGTGTTTCAAGATCAACTTGAGGCATTGTTGAGGGAGAAAGGAGGTAGAAGGCGATCAGAGATTTCTTGTGAGAGAAACCGATCGTAACGGGTTTGATGGTGGGGATGACAGATTGAGCATTTATAAATGGAATTAGAATTAATATTTCTTTCAGTACTACAAAATTAATATTTATTAAAATCCAACGTGTCATATGTCTCTTATTTAAAAAAATTTATCTTAATTGATTCTTAATTTTAATTTTTTTTTTTTAAATTTATTAGGGGGTTTGGGAAAGATTAACCAAAAATGTATATGGGTTGTTTTAGTTTTTAGCAGTTTCGAGCAAATTGTTAAGTTATTAAATAATATTTTTGGTGTTTTTGATAAAATATAAAATGTTAAACAGACGAATTTCTTAAAATTTTGACGAATTTGTCAAATAATCAAAATACAATAACAACAACAACAACAATAATAATTCAAACAAAACTATATACAAAATAAAATAAAATAAAAAACAAAAAACAAAAAAAAAACAAAAAAAACAAAAAAAAAAAAACAAAGGGGAGTCACGGGCTCCCTTTGTAAATGATTTTGAGATCATTTTTATCCCACATTGAAAATGTTTGAAAAGATATAGCTCCTCTATATAAGAGGATCAATGATCCCCTTACAAACCTAATTTCTTGCCCATCAATGTGGGCAAGTATTGAGATGTCAAAAGGTTCTTATCTCTTCTTATTTTAGTTTTTACTTTTTTATTTATTATTAATGAGGGTTGTGAAAGATTAACACAAAATGTATGTGTTGTATTAGTTTTTAGCCATTTGGAGCAAATTACTGAGTTACTATATAATTTTTTGGGGATTTTGATTAAAGTTAAAATGACAAATTTGTAAAAATTTGACGAATTTATCAATAATCAAATAAAAAAAATAATATAATAATAATAGTAATCCAAACAAAACGATATACAAAATAAAATTAAAACTAAAATAAATAAGAAGAAGACAAAAGGGTGTCATGGACTCCCCTTTGTAAATGATGTTGGATCATTTGATCCCACATTGAAAATGTTTAGAGAAGGAGCTCTTGAGCTCCTCTATATAAGAAGAGCAATGCTCCTTTTACAAACATAATTGCTTGCCCATCAATGTGGGCAAGTATTGAGAAGTCCAAAGATTTTTTTTTTTAGTACTATTGACCCGATAAATTATGCTGTGGAATTGTGTCCACCTTGCAAGGTACACACGATTCCAAAATTGTTCATAATTATGAATATATAGTTCAACAATTATGAACATATAGTTCTATAATTACGAACATAGTGTTGTGAGCATTATTATGAACATATAGTTATGTAATTATGAATATAGAGATTCAAAACTTATTTGGTAAGTAAATGTCAAATGGAAATTTGGAAGATTGTGATTTCGAGCCTCAGTGGAGGCGTTATTGGCTCTTTGTGTTTCAGTAGGTTGAGAAAGTATGAACAGATACTACATTGTAATAGAGCTAGTAGCATTCAAAAAAAAAATGTCAAATGGAAATTAAATAAAATCTATTAATTGGTAATATTATATATGATATTATATTCTATAATATAATATAATTGATAATATTATTGTTCAAGTATAATAAATATATTATTGTTCAAGTATAAAATAAAATCAAAATAATAACAATAACAACAACAATAATAATTATAATAATAATAATAATAATAATAATAATAATAATAATAATAATAATAATAATAATAATAATAATAATAATAATAATAATAATCCAAACAAAACTATATACAAAATAAATTTAAAATTAAAAAAATAATAATAAGAAGAAGACAAAGGTGGCTCCCCTTAGTAAATGATGTGGGATACCCCGTGCCTCTCGCATGCGAAGCGAGCGCTCTACCATATGAACTACACCCCCATTGATCCCACATTGAAAATGTTTGGAAATAGGAGCTGTTGATCTCCTCTATATAACCATACAATTGCTTTCTCATCAATCTGGGCAAGTATTGAGAAGTCCAAAGGCTTTTTACAAATGAAAAGTTTAAAGGCTCTTAATTTTTTTTAGTACTATTGACCCGGCAAATTGTGTTGTGGAATCGTATCCATCTTGCAAGATAAACACGGTTCCAAAATTGTTCATAATTATGAATATATAGTTATACTATTATGATCATAGTGTTGTGAACATAATTTTGAACATATAGTTTAGTAATTATGAACATAGAGTTCTGTAATTGTAAATATAGAGTTCAATAATTATGAATATGAAGTTCAAAGATTATGAATATATAACTTTATAATAATGAACATATAGTTCAGTAATTATAACCATAGACTGTGTCCACCTTGCAAGGTGGACACAATTCCATAGTATAACTATTCGATTGACCCTGTTACATGTATACTTTCTGAACCTATTGAAGACCAACGTGTCAAAATGCTTTTATTTAAGAAACCTTATCTTAATGGCTTCTTATTTTAGTTTTTTTTTTATTTAATTTTTTTAATTTATTAGGGGGTTTAAGAAAGATTAACCCAAAACGTATATGAGTTGTTTTAGTTTTTAGCAATTTGGATCAAATTGCTAAGTTATTAAATAATATTTTTGGTGTTTTGATTAAATATAAAATGTTAAAAAGACGGATTTCTTACAATTTTGACGAATTTGTCAAATAATCAAATTAGAATAACAACAACAACAACAACAACAATAATAATAATAATATCAACAACAACAACAACAATAATAATAACAACAACGACAACAATAATAATAATAATAATCCAAAACAAAACTATATACAAAATAAAATTTAAATTAAAAAAAAATTGAGTCACGGGCTCCCTTTGTAAATGATCTGGGATCATTTTGATCGCAAATTAAAAATGTTTGAAAAGAGAGAGCAATCATCCTCTTACAAACATAATTGCTTGCCCATCAATATGGACAAATATTGAGAGGTTAAAATGTTCTTATTTAAGAAGTCTTAACTTTGTCTTCTTATTTTAGTTTTTATTTATTTATTTATTTATTATTTATTTATTATTTATTATTAGTGGTGGGTTATGAAAGATTAACCCAAATGTATGTGTTGTATTAGTTTTTAACAGGTTGGAGAAAATTACCAAGTTATTATATAATTTTTTTGGTGTTTTGATTAAAGTTAAAATGTTAAAATGTTAAAATGACGAATTTGTTAAAATTTTGGCGAATTTATCAATAATCAAATAATAATAATAATAATAATAATAATAATAATAATAATAATAATAATAATAATAATAATAATAATAATAATAATAATAATAATACAAACAAAACAATATACAAAATAAAATTAAAATTAAAAATAATAAGAAGAAGACTAAAGGGAGCCACAGACTCCCTTTGTAAATGATGTTGGATCATTTTGATCCCATATTGAAAATGTTTGGAAAAAGGAGCCTTTGAACTCCTCTATATATTACTTCTCTTACAAACACAATTGTTTGACAATCAATGTGGGTAAGTATTGAGAAGTCCAAAGGCTCTTATTATTATTATTATTATTATTATTATTATTATTATTATTTTTTTGAGTACTATTGACATGAAAAATTATGCTGTGGAACCGTGTCCACCTTGCAAGGTAGACACGGTTCCAAAATTGTTCATAATTATGAATATATAGTTCAAAAATTATGAACATATGGTTCTATAATTATGAATATATTGTTGTAAACATAATTATGAACTTATAGTTATGTAATTATGAATATAGAGATTCAATAATTGTGAATATGAAGTTCAAAAATTATGAATATATAGTTTTACAATTATGAACATATAGTTCAATAATTATGAACATAGAGTTTTGTAATTGTGATTATAGAGTTCAATAATTATGAATATGAAGTTAAGAGATTATGAATATATAGTTTTATAATTATTAACATATAGTTCAGTAATTATGAAAATAGAATTGTGTCCACCTTGCAATGTGGACACGATTTCACAGCATAACTATTTATAAATAGTCAATGAAAATTAAAAATGAAACGAAAATATTAGGTAAAAATATTATTGCATTTATATTCTAATTGATTAATTGACTAAAAATAAAAAATAAATATTGACTGAAAATGAATCTAATATTACTAATTGACTGAAATTATAAGAGGAAATGAATATTAATAATTGACTGCAAATAAAAAATGATCCATAATTGACTAAAAAAAAAAAGAAGAAATGGTCAGATCATTGCATTTTAATTAAAAATGGAATGGAAATTAAAAATTGGAGGGAAATATTTCAATAATAATATTCTACATTATCAATAGTAAATGCATATTTTAAAAAATAGTAAAAGTAAATTAAAAATAGAACGGAAATATTTCAATAATAATATCTACATTATCAATTAAAAATGGAACGAAAATTATGTAAAAATATCTCTACATTTGATATTCTAATTGACTAATTGATTGAAAATATAAAAGGATAACTAATTGAAATTCTACCATTATATATTTTCACCCAAGTAACCTGTCCTGTTGGATTGAAGGTGTTAGCTCTAGATGAAGATGAACAAGATTGTGTTGCCACTACCAATGTCGTCTAGAAAGAGGTTTCAATAATGTGTAAATATAATCGGTGATATTAAGTTTTTTTTTTTTTTAAATGAAAAAATTATTATATATCTAGACAAAAAAAAAATATCTTTCATACAAATGAATAAGGATAGCAATTCATTTCTAGAACTGAGCTGTTAGAGTACGAGCACATTTGCCTAATTTATAAAAATACTAAACAATGATAAATAAAATCTTTAAAGTTATAGCACCGCATGCGTACATCTAGACATTAGCTATTAATTTGAGCAATTATTTGCACAAATTCAAGAAATGATATCATCAAAATATATAAACGATCTAAACCATATCTTTATTGCACTATATATAATATTTGTTGTTCTAATTTAAATAATTATATATAAATTCATATATTCTTAACAAATTCATTCCGTGCATCGCACGGGTGCAAATACTAGTTAGAATTAATATTTCTTTCAGTACTACAAAATTAATATTTAATTAAGAGAAAATGAAACTTTTTTTAAATTGTTTTTTTTTTTTTAAAAAAAATAATAATTAAACATAATCTATATTACGTAGTGTTTTTATTTAGATCCATGCAAATTTTAATTAATTTTATTCCCAACCTAATATGGCCCCTAATGAATATCATCCTTATGTTTACAAATGTCACATTTTTCTTCATTAATACCAAATATGTATTTGTAAATATATGCGGATTGTTTTATAAGTGCATTGCCGACTCAGTCTCGTAAGTACGGAGTTTTTCTTCTCTTTTTTTCTTTTTAGAAATAAGGTTCAAATTGGCCATTGAACGTAACCTGAAAATGTAATTAGACCACTGAATGAAAAAAAAAGTGCAATTAGGCCACTGAACACTTCAAATGTATACAATTCGTTACCTTCAATTTTAGCAAGTTACTTCTTACGTGACAGCTGAGTTGACATTTTAATAATTTTTAATAATAATTTTTTTTTAAAAAATTAAAAAATAATGACAGCGGCCACCCCCCTCTTCCTTCGTCTCTGGCGAAGACGAAGGGGGGGGGGGGGGGGGAGGGGGAAGGGGGTGGCGCGGCCACCCGTCGTTTTATTTATTTATTTTTTAATTTTTTTAATTTTTTAAAAAATTTATTATTAAAAATTATTTAAAAATGATTAAAAATGCCAACTCAGTTTTCATCTAAGCATGTAATCTGCTATCCGATGAAATTGCATACATTTGGAGTGTTTAATGGCCTAATTGCACGTTTTTAGAATGTCCAGTGGCCTAATTGCACTTATTTTTTTCGTTTAGTGGCCTAATTGCATTTTCAGGTTACGTTCAGTGGCCAATTTAAACCTTATTCCTTTCTTTTAATAGTATCTTTGGTTTCTATATTTATACAAATAACAATTTTAATTCATTAATGATTGACGTGAATATTATTAACTTTTTAATTTTTTACTAGACAATCATTTTGAAATTCCTCTTTTAATGAGGTGATAGTTTTGACAATTTTGATTTATCGACCTGTTTACAGAAACTTTAATGACTTAAAATTGTAAATTATAATTTTCCATGATCTATACTAACATGCACTACACATGTAATATAAAAGTGACAAGATTTAACGTTCTCAGTTGGCAGGAGTAAAAAATCATCACCTTTTAGAAAATTTAAATGTTAATAATGCTTATGTTAACTAGGGGTGTAAATGAGCAAAGCTAGTTGAGCTAGAGCTCAACATATATTTGAATTTATTAAAAGGAAAAAATAGAATAGTGAATAGAGAGATGAGGGAGAAAGGATGATAGTCTCTTCATTATCATCTTTTTCTACAACAAGCTAAGTATAGAGTATATATACATAATACAAAGGTATTAAATTGATGCAATAAATGTATAACAGTTACATACGTTACAATAATAATGTCCATAATGATGATGAATTATAACACTCCCCCTTGGACATTATTTGACCACGATTTCGTCTCGTAAAAAAAACTTGCTAGGAAAACCCGGTGGGAAAAACCTAGACAAGAAAAGAGTACAATAGAAAATATATTCATGCCTCATTAAAAACTTCACTAGGAAAACCACGTGGGAAAAACCTAGTTGAAGGAAAGAGTACATGATATATGTAAAAACATATATTGTATTTGGTCGCCTCATTAAAAACCTTAACTTAAGAAAAACCCTGTGGGAAAACTTAGTTAAGGGAAAAAGAGTACAACCATAAGCCTTCAGGGCGAAAACCGCATAATCTTCAGGATTTTGGGGTTTGTCCATTTAAGCAATTATTTTGCAACTTTTTCCTCATTGTCATTACTATATCATACTCATGCCTCGTTAAAAACCACACTAGAAAACCCAATGGGAGAAAAACTAGTGAGGAAAAGAGTACATGATATTTATGTATTTATGCGTTGCAAATAGTGCGCAATTGTTAGTCTTTTATGACTTAATCTTCAGGATTTTACGTTCAATCTTCCGGATTCATCCAAGTAAATGTACTTCCCGTTGTGTTGCAAATAGTGCGCAACTGTTAGTCTTTTATGACTTAATCTTCAGGATTTTACGTCCAACCTTCCGAATTGATTCGAGTAAATGTACTTCCCGTCTCCCCCTGAAGATAACAATCTTCAAGTTCTACATATATTTCAAAATTTGAAGAGATGGATTGGACAAATCTTCTGGATTGTCACTATAGTGTACAATAATCTTATGGCTCTTCTAGAGCTCATATAACATTTGTGCAACACAAGTGTTATTGTCCTCATTTTGAACATTTAGGAAAGTTCATTGTATAACCAGTTTGGGTTTCGCATTGCGGGGATCAAACAAAACAGCCAGTACCCAAGTAGCCTATTAAAACCGAATCATGGTTTCTTACATAAATGTCATGTCTTTGTATCTCGAAGATACCGGAGGATATGTTAATCATTATTCAAGTACTTCATTTGTAGGGGGAGAGCACTAGATTTTGCTAGCAATTTCATCGCAAATATGTTGTGATTATAGAACTTCTGGTTCTATAATGGTGCTCCAACGATAATGAAGTAAGGGACTTCGAGTCCAAAAAGGTTCCTTATCTGCTTCAAGAGATTATTAGGCAACCTTTAGTTTGATAAAAACATGACACTTATATGCATATAGACATATGAAAAAGCATTTTTAGATGTAGGCTGACTGGTGTATATAAAAAAATCTTCAAATAAAAACTCGATCTCCAAGTCGAGATAATACTTATAGCTTTCACAAGCTTTTGTTTCAAAAGTCTCAGTCTTTAAACATGAACTGACATCATTAAGCTCTTTATATCTTTTATTGATGTTTACACCATCAATCTTGACTGAGATAATAAATAATAAATAAGTTCATTATCAACCCTTTATCGAGCACACAATGGTACATATTATTCCTTCAATGAGGATATTAACTCCATTCGCAACCCTTTAAAGAGTAAATAATGACACATAATAATACTTAAAAATCCTCATTTTGAGAATTATGAATCCATCAGGGATTTCTCAAGATAAATTTAACTGCATATCTAAATTTATTATTCTGCCAATTGTATTGTGTAGCGGAACTTAATGCCATTTACCGTGGGAGATTATATTTGATTAAAATCAATTAAGGGTTTCTGCGTGAACCCATAGGCTACAAACTCGTTTTATCACCTCATTATTCTTATTTCTCTTTCATGCACACACTCATTTGTAACCTTCAGGGTTAATGCTCAAATGGTGTATTGTTATAAAGAGAATTTATTCATTTTAGCGAGTCAAGCTATGCCTTAATTGCTCCTTTATATATTAAATAGTCATGGCACTTCTGGTGCCTAACTCTGGATCCAGATTATCATATAACGAGCAATTTGTAATGGCAATAGTGTTGTCGACAACTATAACCTTTTTGTAAAACTCCCATATTTGTAAAAGTAATGGCAATTTCTAAAACAACCAGATTCTAAACATTTCCCAAAGATATTTTGATCTGGTCATTCCGCATCCCTAGTATTACGTTTGTTTGGTGCACCTATAAATCTTACCAGGGTTTTTCGTCATCTGGACAAACGTCTGCAGGACATAATTGTTCAATCTATTTCAAGAGTGACAATATTTCTTTACTAGATCTAGTATTATGATCCATATCTCTTTCACCGATAGATCTCCTACACTTCTAGTGTCAAGGAGTATCGATAGATATGTTTGGTCCAAGGATATAGGACCTAGTCACTTCTTTTATGATCATTATGATCAATAGATGTATTTGGCAGATTATTTGCTAAAATCACAAAATAGATTATCTTTTGAACTTCCAGTTCAATCTAACTAGTACATGGATTTAAATAATGAAGATGTTTTTATTCTTATGAAATTTCTTGGCATTCCAAAAAGCTACGAAGTAGTATATTATCTCCCCCTAATGCCGAGAAACAATCTTCATTAGGAATGTAGTCAACGTACCCAATTATATGTATTGATCCCCTATCATGGGCTTTCGGTATTTAATCAATAGATGGAGGTTTCTTTGCTAGCCCTTTTAGAGGTACGTTGTGGTGGTGATATAAAAATAGACTGCGCAAATAAAATAACGCAGATAGGGAAATGTTACTTCTTAAACCACGTACTAGGTGAAAAAAGGGGGTATAACAATCCTTGAAGGATTGATTTGTGATATGCATCGAGTTAGACTTAGTAAAAAAAACTTGACTCATAGTAACGTCAAGCAATCCTTCGGGGATTGATGGGATAGGTTGACCATTTTTGGTCAAGAATTCATTGTCAAGATTCATCCTAAAAGGATGACTTAGAGAATTAAAATCCTTAATCTACCTTCTGGGCAAATAAATATACAAAACAATGAGGGCTATAAATTTAAATATCATATGCCCAAATCTCATGTCAAAAAGTTTCTATAGCAGAAACTAGCACTGTAAACATGTCATAGCCTTTAACTATTATCACATGCAAGCTAAGGTTTAGCAACGACAGGTGCAACCTAACCATATTGAGAATTCATGATATTGCCACACTTATAAGTAGGGTGATGAATCTCAATAGCTATGGCCTATAGCAAATAATTAATTGCCAACAAGAAATAACAAAAGCTGTTATATGAGCCTAATCAAGAGATTATATGCTAAAAGTTGTCAATTAAAGAGAAGCATGCAATAGCATGTGATATAATTGTCCCTTATGTCTTGGACACCAAACTCTCTATTGAGTCATGCACATCCATTAAAGAGTATCATGTTTGGTACACACAAGGCATGACATGACAAGAGATATTGTTTATTAATTCATAAATTAGAAAAATGAGAGAAGTACCGTTCGTCGAAGAATAATGAGCACATGTTCGCTGCCGGGCCCATTCATTCCTATTTCGGGGAGTCAAAAATAGCACTTTTCCAAGCAGGCTCTCATTTTATTTCATAGTTTCATATCAGCATGAAAACATCACAAAACAGCAAGATATACAAGCTGAAGACGGCAGAAAATTTTCAGAATTTTGACCTGGATTGCAGGATTTTCTGGGGGAAAACGGTAACACATTTTGACACAAAGTTTGGCAGATATGTAGTTCAGCAAGTCTAGAACGTACATAAAAATTTTCATCTCAATCCAAGGTGTGGAAGTATTTTTTCTGAAATTTTTCACAACATTGCTCCAGGCAGAAAAATAATTGGCAGCACACTGCCAAAACTTTACAAATTTTTCTGGAATAACCAAAGCATATTTTTAACAAAATATTTTTACAGACATCAAATATCACGAGTCTAGGTTCTCCAGAAAAAATTTCATGCCAAAAGGAGTTCAACAAGTATTTTTCACGAATTTAATTTTCAAACTGCGCCTGTCAGAATTTTCAGGCAGTGATTACTATGTGTAAAAAAAATCACAACTTGTTTGCTTCAGGCAAACCAACATGATGTGAGTCAATTTTAACTTTTGGACAGTAGCATAGCATTAGAAATAGAAGTTGCAAACTTCATTCATGAGTCATAAATCACCTTAAAGATCAATCCCATTTGAGGTCTTATAGACCTTTATTAAAAACGATCCAATGACCAAGCATATTTGCCAAGTAGGAAAGGCACGGAACTCATAAAGTACATTCCAACAAAAAAACTAAAATTTTGATGTCTTTTTAAAAAACAATGACATTCAAAATACTTATTATAATCTGGTCATGTACTACTACAGGAGTACAAGGTGACTATCACATATGACAATGAGACGCACACTATTTTAAATAATTTTTAGTTATGTACTTCTACTAGAGTACAACGGATTCATGTACAATCCGAAAAGGTACCATCCGGGAAGTAAAAACCCGTCCAGAAAATTAAACATAGAGAAGTAAATTCTAAATTGTCAAATAATTTCGGGTGACCCACGAGAATTAACTTCTCAGATCATGCGTCCATTTTGTACATTAATGGATCACAATAATTTATTGATCATAGGATCATACGATCCTTCAGGGATCAACTTAGACTCTAAATCTTTTCGATCAAATATTCATAACCGATGGTTTAGACTAAAAGGTGTCAAATAAAAATTAGTGCTCTAAGTGTTTACCTTCTGGGCAAAACAATATTGAAAATATGCACTTTTATTGTGTTCAAATACTCACATTTGAGATATTCAAGATTCAAGACTCATGCCATATAATTTTATGATAAAAATTAGCACCATCAATATGCATGAATTTGGAAAAATAAATCATTTGACTTCCAAAACAGAATTAACTCAATTTGACATTAGTCATATAAATTGTCGTAGTGTTATTATCATATAACTAGTGCTATGAATTCGCCTTCTGGGCAATGCTATGTGTAAAATTCATGTTGTAACCACTTGTTGATCATGACAATCCTACAAGGACTATCGTATAATAAGTATATAAATCAATGACTTTAATTTTTCATCTGGGCAAAGCACCCATTAAGATTTATAATAAATCTTAACATATATGGCCTATAGCAAATAATTGTTATGTCACATTTTCTTCTATGATATACACATAGCCATATTGCATAAGAGAGCAAATTGTGGCACAACAATAATTGTCATGTAATAATCAGTAGTGTCACAACATTATATATTTCAATTAAGCTCTCAAAAAAAATTAGGCATCAACAGGATGGACATGCATATGACATATTATTATCTTAAATAATAAGCATAGTCAAAATTATCTAAAAAGATAATCACTCATCTAAGTTCAAGTAATCTATGGCTTTTACCACATTTCAGTTTATAATTTGACATGGTATAACAACATTATGCAATATGATTGTATTGCCTAATAATAATAATAATTTATTGACATAATTCAAGGCAATAATATGAAGTGCATAATCAATCAAGTAGGCATAGATGATGTAGCAGTTTTAATCAAGTAGGATCAAAGACAAAGCTCGCTAGAGTATGGTCGAAACTCTAGCATGATTTTCCAACCTTTGATTTGATTTCCACTGTATTTCTATGCTAAGAAGTGTACTCCCACAAGCTAATTTTGCTTTGATACTGGGTTTATAATATGCATACGCACATATACATACAAAAAATTAGTCATAATGCATATGTTATCAGGTTCTGGAAATGGATAATACAAACACACATATCCTTATTAACATGGTTAAAAAAAATTATCAAACTGGATTCTGTTTGCTGCCTCATTGCCACGACTAAGTGGATTATTAGCAACAGAAGAAATCAAAGGGACATTACCAATACTTAGCCAATTAAGAGCATTAACACTAGGACCACTAACACTTTGTGATTCATTAACAGTGGTATTCATATTATCAAGACCAGAAAATCAGAAACAATAGCACTATCACTAGCAGGAACACTAAGTACTGGTAGTGTGGTTTGAGTAGCTCCATCAAAGGTCCTATGACCAGCCAAATTACCAAAGGTAGGCCGATTAGGAACAATGATTTCATGTGTTCTATGACCAGCCAGATCACTTTGGACCAGCCGATTAGAAACAATTGCAGATGATAAGCTCACCACACCAGTACTTTAAAGTGTGACCAGAAAATAGAAGTACCTTGAAGAGCCCCAATCTCCAACCACTGTGATAATCGCCGGCCTGGAGCCTCTGTTGGTTAGAGCTCGTGCTGATAACGTATTGAAAGGAAAAAATAGAATAGTGAATAGAGAGATGAGGGAGAAAGGATGATAGTCTCTTCATTATCATCTTTTTCTACAACAAGCTAAGTATAGAGTATATATACATAATACAAAGGTATTAAATTGATGCAATAAATGTATAACAGTTACATACGTTATAATAATAATGTCCATAATGATGATGAATTATAACAGAATTGAATTGAATTGGGTTATTATTAAGTTGAAGTCAAACTCAAGTAATTCAAGTAACGAGTTGGTCAAATCAAATTTGAGGCTACATTTAACATTCTCGTGAAAAGTGATATATCTTTTTTGTTTTTTTTCGTCAAAATAAATTTGGGGAAAAAATGAAATTTGTAAGATTATTACATTTTTGAATTAATGGTGTTCTACTTTTTGAGATTCCTCAATCTCATAATGTTTGGACCGAATGTATGTAATGATTGTTTTGTTAACTCTTAAGTAGGCAACTATTTTAATTTCTTTACTATGTAACATTGCACGGTGTAATATTATGAATATCATCATATATTTTTTAAAAGAACAATAAAAGGGTAAACAAGAGCTAATGAGTGTGTGTGTGTGTTTTTTTTTTCAAGTAATTGCCAGTTTATCTTAATCACTAACGGTGTCACTATTATATTTTTAATTTGTTATTTAATTTAATTATTCTATGATTGTTTTTATTAATTTATGATGAAATTAAAGTCACGGTCATTATCTGCAATTTCTAACTTTATGCGACATGCTCGATTGAGAGATGGCGTTGGTAAGAATTGAACTCGTAACTATTCAAATACAAGAATGATGCTTTAGCCCGCATGGGCAGCTCAACTGGTCATAGAGGTGAAAGTTGGAAAGAATGACCAGGGATCGAGTCTCACTAGCGGGGGTGCAACCTCTGTGAGGGGAGCTCTTTGTGCGCAATAAGCAAATGTCTAGCCGCTGTGGTTCATGTTCAGGGTTGGGTTCAATCTTTTGAGAAGAAGAATGATGCTTTATACACTCAACCATCATTTATGGGACAATTTTATTATTATTATTTATTTATTTGTTTGTAACTATAGATAGTTACATTAGAAGTGGATTAATAAATATAAGAAAAATGATAGATTTTCCTCCTTGAATTTACCTCATAATGTTTACTCTAGCATAATGATAAAACTATTTATATTTATTGAATTTCCAACTCCACCACTAATAAAAAAAGAGGTTTACTTAGTAATTATATTAAAAGTAAACAAATTAAGTAATGTCACATAAAGTGGTTTATTATTCGCTTCTTCACAACCTGATTCTCGTGTTTGGTTTTCTGATTATCCGTTTTGTATTCAACATTTAATTATTAATAATTAAGTTGATCGTTTTTTGGGTTCAAAAAAAAGAGGTTTAATTATTATTATTATTATTATTATTATTATTATTATTATTATTATTATTATTATTATTATTATTATTGTTATTGTTATTTTGAAATAGAAGAGAGGATTAAGATTAGTAGAGATATCAAAAAGGAAATTGGGAGGCCTAGAGTGACATTCCCCTTGGCCTAACATAGAAAATATTTTTGGGATATGCTTCTCTCCTAAAAGTGTGAGCAAGGCGATTCGTAGACCTTTTGTAAAAGAAAAAGGTTATTTCAGTAAGATATAAAGTTAAATCCTTAATGTCTTGGATGTGGATGTCGAAGTATGAATAAGTAGGTTTCAAATGCATGGTATTCACCATAAATTGATATTTTTGTTCTACCTCAATGCCATCCAATACGAGATCCTTCAGCCAAGTTTGCGCTTCGCGTATACATTTGCCGAGATGACTATAGATGAAGAAACAATATTTGTAGACTTCCAATTTTCAAAGTAGGAAATTGCATTGAAAACTATGGCTCTAGAGTTTAATTAATTTAACATTTTTGACTTTATTTTAGTTTAAATTCTTCCTTTAAAAAATAAAAGTTATTCCGGGCTTACCATAATTCCTAAGTCATTATGATCATGAGTTCAAAAGTCCATCTCGCAAAACAATGGTAACTAGTCACAATCCAATGCAAGAAGCTATATTGAACTTCACTCATCACCCAAACTTGATCCATCAATCTTTGGTCGTTCAACACTTGACAAATAGGTGAAAGATTAACTCTCTAGTGATCGAGGCATCGAGCAATATGAGCATATTTTTATGCATTGGATCCTATGAACTCGAAGAATGTCATAAGTGGGGAGACAATAGTTGCAAGCATGCCAAAGGAAGTTCTTCACCTTAGGATGAATATTGAGTTTTTAAATGCCCTTACATGGTATATTGAATGACCTTATGACTTTCCCGATTAGTCGTTCCAAACGGCCATGGACGTCCATAGCTGTCCGGGTCGGGGGCGTCCCCTGACAGCTATGGTCGTTTGGAACGAGGGCGGCGGCCATGACCACCGTCCTCGTTCCAGGCCGTTTGAGGTCCAGATCTAGACCTCATGTTCGACAGCCCTGGCTGTCCTCGCCGTACATCGTCGGACAGCCGGTGGCTGATTTGTTTTAATAATTAAATAATAAATAATTTTTTAAAGAAATAAAAATTAAAAAATATTTTAAAAGCGACACACGTCAAACTTGGGATGAATTAATCTGCTATACAGGTTAATTTGGACTCAATTGAACTATTTTACAGGTTTACAGGGCGTTTGGTTGGAAGGGAGAAATTATGTGGGAAAGGAATTGTAATTCCGTGGGGGATGAATTACTGAGAATAAAGTGAGAATTTAAATTCAAGTGTTTGGTTTACAGGAATAGAATTCATGAGAATTTCAATTTCAATGTTTGGTATACATGAGAATTGAAAGGGAATAAGTAGTATAAAGTCCAAAATGCCCATTATTATTATTATTATTATTATTATTATTATTATTATTATTATTATTATTATTATTATTATTATTAATTTAAATGACAAGTATTTCTTGGATCCATTTGCATATTCAAACACCAAAAAATATAAAATATTAAATTCAAATATCAGTCATCTATCGTATCTCTTGAACTAGATATATTGTAATTAAATTTCATGCAAATACTTCATCAAATGTTATGCTTCATAAACTCAGATTCAAAAAAAAAAATCATAAAAATAAAAGTACACAACCTAATTAAACCTAATTTAAATATTTGAGAGTTTTGAGAAAACGTACTTGATTAAGGTTGACCTAGAATGATTGTTGTTCAGGAACATTTATCTCTCTTGGTCGAAGAATAATACACGGCTATATCCAGAAGGGAAGGTCAACCATTAATTTTAGGTTAAAAAAGGAATGAGTAATTTTATCTCATCACTATCTCTTTTTTTTTTTATTTTCCTAAAATCCATAGAATTAAAATCTCGGGAGAGGGGCATGCGATTTTAATTCCATGAAAATGAGAGAATTGCAATTCTTTCCAACCAAACACATAAATTTAATGGCCTTTAGAATTAAGTGGGAATTAAGTGAGAATGAAATTTAAATTCCCCCAACCAAACGCCCTGTTAACGAATTTGAATGAAGGGTTTTTTTTTTTTTTTTAAAAGGAAAACTTAATTGCACTATTTGAATGACTTGGAGGGCCAATCTGACACTTTGTCCTATCAAATAATACTTACTTTGTAATTCATTACTCTAGTAATTACCAGGAGTATTGATAAAAGATTTCCAATCATTGATTAAGGTAGGGATAGAGTGTTTAATTGTCTACCATAATTCGACAGAGTTGCCCATATTTAGGTTAGCACACCAAAACATAAACAGCTAATAATATTGCGCGTGCGCTGGTTAAGAGCCCCATTAATTACGTAGGCTGTCGGTAATGGTAGAGTAGTAGACCACGCAATTAAATCTTAATAACAAATTAAATTGCTTTAGTTAGAACTAAACAAGTAATATTGCTTCAGCCACATTAAATTGCGTTACTTCCTTAAAGCTAAGTGATCTCCGTGTGTAATTCTGTGACTAATTTTTGTTAGCCTATTAAAAGTAACACAAAAAATAATTATAGGTGTTAAAGCGGTTAATCAAAATTTTAAAAACTTTAACCGTTAAACGAATCGTACTTTAATTGTATTGCAGAATTAATCGAGCCGATTTTATTTTTTTTTTTGTTGGTTAATAGGTCAGTTAACCGATTAACAGAACTTTTATAAATTACGTTTTAAATCCTAAAAATAATACCTATAATAATAAATCTAATTAAAATAATATAATAAATCCATAAGAAAATATACAAAAACAATATCATATAACAACATTACAAATTTATAGGGATTTTACATATTTATATATATATATATATATATATATATATATATATATATATATATATATATATATATATATTTATTTATTTATTTATTTATATATTTTTATATATTAAAAATTTTGATTAATCGTTCGGTTAACCGAAGTGTTGAACTGAATTAACCGTTAATCAAAATTTTAAAAAACTTCTGACCATTAACCGAACAAAAAAAGTTTGATTAAAAAAAGGTTAACCAAACTTTGTTGGTTCGATCGGTTAACCGAAAATTTACCGAAGTTTGTACACCCCTAAAAGACACACAAAAATTTAATCTAAATTGATGGATGATGTTAAGTAAAATGATTTTAATATTTAATATTAATTCTTTTATCATTTAACTAAAACGATTTTACATAATTAAGTTGTAGGCAAGATGATAATGAATGTAATCATGGTAATAAATAAGAGTTAATACCAGCTAAGGTCCCTCGAGTTTGGTGGTTTCGCCACATATAGTCCTAAACTTTCGTATTACCATCAGGGATCCTCCGATTTTCAAAATTTGACCTCCTGCCATCCTGTGTTAGTTTCTTCCGTTTGGACCGTGTAAAGTGGGGATAGAATTGTCATTCGCCTTAAATAATTTATTTTTAATTGCAAATATTACTATTTTGCGGCTACAGCCACCCCTCCGGCGACCGCCTCAACCGGTTCTGTACTTGTATTACGAAACCCGTTTTGCGGCCACAATGCCGCCGCCGCTGCTTCGGAGTTACTGACTTGGGGATTGAAGCTATGGGTAAAGGTTGCCCAAATCTGAAGTAGTTTAGCCTCCGAAGTTGCACTTTTCTGGTATCTGATTTTTCTATTACTGCTTTTTAATTATTTACTTGGTAGAACGCTTGCTCAGCTTGAAGATGACATTGCTCCTTGTGAAGCACAAATGGAAAATTGGAAAACGAACCTGACAATTATAGATTCCAAAGAGAGGCAATATTTTCAACAGTATTCTAATTACTCCGTACAAGGTAACTCCATTTTGCTTTAAACATCATTTAGAGATCAAAGCCCTAATATTTTCTACCATCTCTGGCTTGATTTATACTATTTTTTGTTAAGAAAAAAGTTGTATGAACTCTGCATTTTTAGCTAAATGCTTTGTCTGCATATAGCATTTACACTATCAAATCCACAGTTGGGGCTTATCTTTAAAGAAAAGTAATCCATTTGCTTGGTACTCTTATGTTGTGCTAACCTCCTTCTGTGTGATAGAGCTTCAAGGTGTAGTTGTATTTGAAGTGCATTAAACATCAAACAGATAGTGCTTTTTCTGCTGGGCTTTTGTGGCTTAATTCTGAAGTGTCTAGACTCTAGGTGCCTCTCAAAATTTTATTCTAAAAAGCAGTGAACTTCAATGATTGTTTCAAAATAAAGCTCAGAGATACGTGTTTAATTTTGGGGTTAGTGTTCCTTTGCGAGGGATAGGCAGATGTCTGGTAAATACTAAGCTATTTGTAAGCTAGCTGTTTGACAATCTTGTGTGGTTTGGAGCATTTTTCGTTTGCTTAATAAGACCTTGCCTCTCTTGCTTAAGCTGGGCAATAGCCTTGTTGGTTTGAACATCCAAAATTGCCCTAGAATCAGTTCTAGTGGTGTCGATTCGCTTGCAGAGCGGCTTTGGAGGTGCGATGTTCTTTCTTGAGGATAGCTAGCTTTCAAAAAACCAACCCCATCAGTCTGTTCGATCTGTACTACGGTCTGTTGAATCTGGTGGAGAATACCGCCAACCCCATCGGCTGAACTTGGCATTTGAGGCAGAGGAGACCAAAATACATAAAACAGTGATATTTGCCCTTAAAAATGAATTATTTAAGGCAAATGACAATTCTATCCCTACTTTAGATGGCCCAGACAGAAGAAACTAACGGCAGGATGACAGCAGGTCAGATTTCGAAACTCGGAGGACTACTGATGGTAATACGAAAGTTTAGGATTATATGTGGCGAAACCACCAAACTCGAGGGACCTTGGCTGGTATTAACTCTAATAAATAAATATTTAAGTAGATACTGGTGAGAATATAATGTGGTTATAATGACATTTAGTCAAATCGATGATAGATGCTTCTATTTTTTTATTTAGAAAACAGTTCTAAAAAGTAGAAAACTGAAAAATTGTTTTCTGTTTTCAAAAAGAAAAACTGTGCTAGTAAACAAATTTTTCAGTTAGTAAACAAGCTCTACATGTTCCATTTGAAATAAAATTAGTAATATAAATGTAAATTAAAATTTTGTAAGTGACAAGTTCAATCAAAGATTTAAAGTATAATTAAACTTGTGATCTTTATATACGAGAGTTATCCTCTAGATTAAGGCGAAATTTATCTCGTTATCCCTTTCAAAACATGGAAGAGTCAAGGGAAAAGTATATGGACTTTTTCATATTCTGACTTATTAGTGTGTCGCGTGGCATTAAATTGTGAAAATGATTTATACTCTTACAACTACATATAGCGTATAGAGTGGGGCATTGCTTTAGAAAAGTCTCCTATTTCCTATTTTCATTTGCATGGAGGCCAGGTTTATTTATTATTTATTTACATTTAAATAAAATCTTTCTAATTTTGTTGGTATGATGTGACTGAAATTTGTTGTGATTGCAATTCTCTCACTGTAATCGTCAATGTCGACAAAAAAAAAAAAAAATTTAAAGAGATGATATATCATATCACGTTGTCAATAAGGTCATATGTATGAAACACATTGTCATATTTCATCACATTTTTCGGGAATATAACCAGTATGCTAACTATCTCGATAACTTGGGGCAAAGTGGTGAGTGGAGTACTCATATATTGGAGGAACCTTCAGACGGAATCAACGATCCCATTGAGCGGGACGCCAGAAGCGTAGCTACAAGGCGTATCTATTAATTTCCTGAGATCTTGGTCCCTTTGTTGCACCCAAAAAAAAAAAAAAAAAATTATAACATGCACTTTCTTTCTTTTATTATTAAAACAACAATATTTTGAGCCATTTTCAAACTAACTTGTATCAATGTCGAATACTAAAATAATAAGAAATGAGGTACATTTTGTACTTTAACCAAATTAAACCCATTTATTTAATTTGTCAAATCACAACCATTTATCAAACACTCCCAATAACTTATAGGAATAAAGGTCAAATGTGTCACTTCAACTACATTTTCAAAAAAAAAAAAAAAAAAGTGTCACTTCAACTACACACCAAACTACAATTAGGCCATCGAACTCAAAAAATATGCAATTGGGTCCCTGAACAACACAAAATCATGCAATTAAACCTAAAATGACATGTTTACTCAAAATTATGTTGACGTGGCGTTTACTGATTTTTAATTAATTATTTAAAAAAAATTAAAATTGGTAACCGCCACGCCAACATAGTTTCAGGTAATTGCATAATTTTGTGTTGTTCAGAGACCAAATTACATGTTTTTTTGAGTTCGATGACCTAATTGCAGTTTGATGTGTAATCAAGTGGCCTATTTGACCCTTATTCCTAACTTATAATGTGTTTACTTCAATTATCTATTTCCCTTTATATTTTCATTTGGTTATTAGTTTTTCATTCAATGTATTATGTTTTTCAAATGTTGAAATAAACATATTCTCTATTTTTTTTTTCGATTTTTTATGTACCATTTTTTTTTTTGTGAAACTGCCCCCGCCCAAGGGGTATTAACTGACCCTTCTGAACCTAGCACCGTTGGCATCAACCGAAAGGAGCCTCAAGATGTTATCGAGTGGGGCCTCTAAGACTGTTGTACCTGCATCATTTGCCTGACCAAGATTTGCAAGGAAATCAATACATTTATTACCTTCCCTCATGTATCATGTCTCTAGAAAATATGATAGTTTCTCAAATTAGTAGATATATATACACTTACTTTTTAACTCTCAAATTTTAATACGCCACCGCCATATCTTGTTCCGATTCTTGCCAATGATTTAATGAATTAAGTTGTTTCTTCCAAAAACTCTCAAATTTTACAAAAACAAAAAGAAATTGATAACAAAAGGCTAAATTGGACATTATCATGATATCAAAATTAATATAAAAATGTGATCAAATTATTAGTTCAAAACTAAAAAATGAAATAGCATTATATATACTTGAAGGCTAAAATCCGAAATTAAATTAATTCTAAGTTAAAATATCTCCCTTAGCTTTATGAGGGGAAAAAACATGTGGTTTGAGTGTTTGACCAAGGAATTGAATTACCTAAGATAAGTATAAGCATGTATGTCATCATCTCCCAAACAAAAGAAATTTGGTTCTTATCAATATGAAAAATCATAGATGGTGAAGTGTTGGGTCAAATAGTTGGGGCGACTGTGTTTCTGAATTCTAAATTTCTAATAATAACAACAAAGACCAAACCCAAGTTTAAGTAGATATTACATGCATGGACTTAGCTCAATGATTCAATGGACAGTATTTTGGAGAAGAGATCAAGATTCGAACTTCGGCGGCGACAGTGTGAGAATTATGTCCAAAGTGAACAGATTTCTTGTACGCATCGGTATTTGGCTCTGTCTTCTGAACCATTGAGTTATCATGATTTGCACCCTTCCAAGTGCTCTGTTGAGTCGGAGTGTGGGGCCCCTTGAGATTGAGGATTCAACATTTTGGGAGAAGTTTAAGAATATATTTACCAGTCAATGAGGTACAAGCTAAGACCTGAACTCACGGTTGAATTGGGGGACCATTTAATACGTACGATGAGGGCAATATTTTGTGCGGTGATCTTTTATACTAATTTAATGTCTATAACCAAATAAAGCATATCATATATTTTTTGAAAAAAGTCTCTGCTCATTAACCCAAAATAAATTTATAAATTTTATTTAGTTAGCCGTCATAACGGGCAAAGTTTATATCCAATTAATAATTTTTTATTTTTTTTAAATGGAAGTATGGATTTGGCTTTATTGTGGCATGCGGGTAGAGTCGTCAAAACGGGTTTAGACCGCCGGATAAGCTCGTCCCGTCCCGCAAAAAGGGCGGGATGGACTTTGATATTTGGAACCCGTATTTTGGCGTGCTTTTTTACCCGGGGGCCCGCTAAGCCCGCCAATTGTATAATAAAAAAATTATTATAATAAATAAGTACTATATATATATATATATATATATATATATATATATATATATATATATATATATATATATATATATATAATCAAGTATAAAAAAATTAGTACATTGTATTAATGATTCGTTATTGATTTATGGATTAACATATTATGTATTTTGATTATTTGTTAGTTATTATTGTATTTTAAAAAGTACAAATGTATTAATATATGTTTAAATTATTAAAATTATTGTAGTATGCGCTTATTATTATTTTTTATATTAATATAATTTTTATTTAATATTAAAACGTTTAACATTTGGCGGGCCCCCGCCAAGGCCCGCGTGCTTAAGGCGGGGCGGGGCGGGCCGACCTCACCTAGGCCCGTATTTTGGCGGGCTTTTTTAGCCCGCCCCCGCCATATGACGGGCTTTGGCGGGCCCCACCCTGCCAGCCCGTTTCGATAGCTCTACATGCGGGCACATAGCATGGTCAGTTGAAGCATATCTCATAATTTACCTTTTCCACTAGTCTCTAGAACAGGATCGGTGAGGGTAGGTACTCTTAAGTTTGAAACTTTCTGTATGTTGGTACTTTACAACTAAATTAAAATTTTGAATTCAAGTTGATAATAAGATTATAAATTTATTATTGGGATAATGGTCAAATAGACCCTCCAATTATACATCAAAGTACAATTAGACCCTCGAGTTAATTTGTTTTTTTTTTTTTTAATTAGATCCTTAAACTTGTTAAAATTGTGCAATTAACATATTTGACATATAATAGCATGTTACCTCCAAGTCACATGCCACGGATTAATATTTTTTAAAACTATATATTTTAAAAATCATAGTATATATATATATATATATATATATAGAAAAAATA